ATATGGTATTGGCCGACTCTGCTCGGTCGTCGCTGCTGCTGCTATCAATTGTGGCATAACCAGCTATCGAAGAACTTATAAAACTTACGTGGTGTGTCCACTACCAGACAAAGGATTGCGAGCGACTAATACATTAAATTAATCGATAGCGCACCTAATCAAAAAAAATATAAAAATACAAATATTAAAGATGAAATAAATAGTTTGATATTTAATTTTAATTTAATTTAATTTTTTTTAGACTGCTTAATTTAGAGCAAATTTCGTTGGCTTTTTTTTTTTTTTTTTGTTGTTGAAAATAAGGACAAAGTGCTTTGGTGGTAAGGGCGTCCCTTAGGGGGGTTGGGGTTGTTTGGTTTGGGGGGTGGTGGAAAGGCGGGGAAACCAAGGCTTAAAAGCTAAAAAATTACCCGGTTTTGTTTAAGGGTTTTTAAAAGGAAATTAAAGGAAGTTGGGGTTTTTTGGTTTTGGTTTTTGTTTTCGGGGGCTTTTAATTTCATTTCAAATAAGTTTGTCGTGCTCTCTTTCTAGATGGGTTTTTTTTTTCTTTTTTTTAAAGGATTTTTTTTTTGGGCGCTTTTGGTTTTTGCGTTCATTCATTCACCAGAGTCGAAGTACGTTTAGTTCTTTAATAATGTTTGCCTCGTTATTAAGATCGTAGTTCTTACTAACCCTTCATCTACCTTCTTACCCGGCTTATCTTAATGAGAAACTGAGTTCTATGCAATTATAACCACGTTGAAGAATCAAGTAAATTTTCAACATTAACTTTCATTCAAGTACTCCTTATTGAAATAATACTGCGTTTTGTTTGCTAGTTTCCCCCTTAACATTCCACGCTCAGATAAACGATACCATGATAATATTGCGGAACATTGTTATATAAACTTTTGAGGATCTTTAGCGCAGCTACTTGTAGCGAACGAAGTTTCGTAAATTTCACTAAATCAAAATGATTGTAGCAAGACTAAGAACTTTTAGATGTGGCAATCAAAATTTATTTCATTATTGTCAATCCAATACATGAAATATATGAAATATTCAAACATATTTTAGACACTTAAGAAAAATATTAAACTACATTTTTACTTCTACTATTTTATAAAATTGGAGTGACAAACGAACTTACAGTCCACCTTAACGTAAATGAACGTAAATCTTCAAACAAAGATGGCTACAGACGCGTTGTCACCTTTGAGGACCAAGATGTAACGTCACATTCTGTAATTATACTACCTTCCTATACCATACAGCTACTTGACAGCAGAAATAGGTAAGAAGTTGGTATTTACCCAGACCTACTTCAAGGCAAAAAATGAGTCCTACCTCTTAGTAAATTGAAACTTGCTTAAAAATAACGAGATGTTTATCCTGGTGTTTTAATCATATTTCTACATACATGGCAAGTGCGTACTTTCACAGTCTGCTATTCCACACTTCGTCAATGCAGTCGCTCAGTCAATGAAATCGTTGGAATATGAGGTGATATTCTATGGAAAGGGATGACTAAGATGTAAGTTGAAGGTGTTTTAAATACACCTCCATTATATCATCTTAGACAGTAGCTGTGATGCTAAGTGTCAGGGCAGCCATTCATTAACGTCTTATGTTTGTATCGAAAAATAATCAAACATGTAACAATAAGTTTACAATAACGATATGTAGAGATCTTTTTAAGTATTAAATACTTATATTACTTGTAAATAATATCTAAAATCTGCTCTCTTAATGATTACTGAATTTTTGTAAGTTTCTTACTCTGTGAACCGTGCAACAAGAGAAGTTCGACAAGCTTCGCCTAACTAATGAGCTTATGTATTCTTGTTCGACAGTGTAAGAGGCAAGAGCTATTTTAATAATTATAGTTTCAATTTAATGCAATGAAAATCAGGCTAGGCAAAATAAAAGTTGACTTCTCGTAAGAAGAGGTTGGAAATTGTAGTACCGTGGGTGTGTGAGCGTACCTCTTTCTAAGCCGATATATAACGAAATAAGAGTAGTGGCACAAAGCTTTGTTGTATGCAAGTAATGGCCAGCAAAGTGTAACCTTATTGTATTGTGCTGAACGCTCTTATATCTGTTAGCTTTCCTTGCTTTGAGTCAGCGAACTCTAACTCTGAAAGGAATGAAAATGAAAGATCTTACACTGATAAAAAGGACCAAAATTGATTTGAGATGAACAATCACTTAACAGAATAAGTGTGACAGGCGAGCACACAGGCCATCTCATGGTAAGTGGAAGCTCTTTTCGTAAGATAGAATGCCTCATGCCAATAAAAAGGGACTAAATAACTCCGCGCTCTCCATATGAAACACACCAGCATTATTCTGCTGTTCCACGTGGGTATTCTGTGAGAGCGTAATCCTACCCTGGTTGAGCTGACTGATTTGTGCTGAAGCCTTGGCTCTACCAAAATTTGCTTTTGCTCGTTTATATAATACAACTTGCTGGTAGAGCGGTAAGGTTAATGCATTCTTAATATTTTAACTCACAATTACACATTTTTAACTTTTAGATTTGAAGCGGCATTCTCTTATGAGCAGACACTTACAAGAGCTTGGAGGCTTGTTGTGAAAGAGATTACGCTTTTCGCTCTGGGTGAATTTAGATTAAAATGTTTATTTTACTGACGCTACTACTTGGCAGTACAGCTAGTTTGATGTGATAGAGCCACGCTGTAACACAAACGGGTTCGCTTTTACAGAATACTAGCACCAAATACCAGAGTAAATATCAAAGTTATACGGCTGTGTCTATTATGCAGGTCGTAATGAACCGGAAACTCATTTTAATGGAAACGAGGCATTCCATCTTAGTTTCAGGGGTGACAGCACTGCAATTTGATTCTCAAACTGCGATAGATGGTTACACTTGGTCCACTTACAATCAAATGGACCATGTGCTGTTTTACTTAATTAACTATTAATATTAATGCTTTAAACTACGGCATTTAATAAAAATTAGGAAATACTAATATGTATAAGGAAGTGTTGTGACACATGACTTTAAGCAATTATCTGTTACAATTTGTCACCGCATCCCAGAGACATCAAGAGTTAAAGCCATTTATAACATTTAGTACGCAATTTTAAATTCTATTTCTAGGTATCATAAAGTTTATATTAAATTACAACAACGATCGACGCATTTGTTAATTGAAGAACGGCACGAGAAAACTTACATCGTAAATTACATCCGCAAACAATGCAACGGTGACCAAGATCGATACCTGTTTGCACAAACATTGGCATAATATAATATTGGATGTACATTGGGAAATAATAAAGTAGTTAGTAATAGATTTCCGCAAGATCCGTAAGTAACCAAGTATAATATGATATAACATAAATAGTAGTTACAAAGCACCTGGTTATGATGGCATTGGAGCCATAGACATAAAAAAAATATCTGCAAAAAAAATTAATATAGCCATTGCTAATTTCATTAATGCAAGTATTAAGAGGGGTACCTATCCCAATGAATTAAAGATCGGTATTGTTAGACGGATATACAAAAAAGGTGGATCATCAGATTACGAAAACTATAGGCCAATAACTATTCTACCCACAGTTGATAAAATTGTTGAAAAATATATTTGTAAGCAAATTTATGAATTTTATGGCAACAACAAAATCATCATCATCATCATCATTACAGCCCTTCACAAGTCCACTGCTGAACATAGGCCTCCCCCAAGTAATGCCACAAAGCACGGTCCTGAGCCACCTGCATCCATCGATTTCCTGCATGTCTTACCAAGTTGTCACTCCATCTAGTGGGGGTCACCCTACACTACGCCTACCGGTACGAGGCTGCCACTCGAGAACCTTTCTTCCCCATCGGTTATCGGTTCTTCGAGCTATATGGCCGGCCCATTGCCACTTCAGCTTACTAATCCGTTGGGCTATGTCGGTTCTGATAACAACTGTGTTATAATAAAAAAACTGCGGTTGCCAACCCGCTCGCCAAGCGTGGACATATGGCAAATATCCCCCCATGAATAACGACGCAAAAAAACGGTCCCCAGTCCCCGGCGGCCCCGCTATTCCTGGCTACGGTGGCAACCATGGTAACGGCGGGGCAGGGGGTGCTAAGAATCTCCGGTGGAGGTTCGGTTGCCACCTACGACGACTCGACCTGGCAACATATAACGCACGCACTCTGAGGACTGACGAGAAGATACTGGAGCTGGAAGAAGAGGTAGACAAGTTGCGCTGGCATATTATTGGATTATCCGAGGTCCGAAGAGAGGGGGAGGATACGGCAATCCTCGAGTCCGGCAACTTGTTATACCACCGGGAGGGCGACCATCTGTCCCAACGAGGTGTCGGATTTATCGTCCACAAGTCTCTCGTCAACAACGTTGTAAAGATTGGGAGTGTGTCGACGAGGGTCGCGTACCTGATACTCAAAATCACCAAACGGTATTCGCTGAAGGTCATACAGGTTTACGCACCAACCTCGGCACATCCCGATGAGGAGGTGGAGGAAATGTATGAGGATATTTCCAGAACCATGCATTCCTCCAAAACCCACTACACGGTGTTGATGGGAGACTTCAACGCAAAACTAGGCACAAGAGAAAGCGGTGAGCTGAAGGTGAGGAAATTTGGAGTAGGGCAAAACCGAAGGGGCCAGCAGCTGGCCGACTTTATGGAAAAAGAGGGACCCTTTATGATGAACTCTTTTTTTCCAGAAGCGGCCCCACAGGAAGTGGACCTGGTCGAGCCCCGACGGTTCGACAAAAAATGAGATTGACTTCATTATGACTACCAGACGCCAACTGTTCATTGATGTCTCAGTGATCGCAAGGGTGAAAACTGGCAGCGATCACCGAATGGTTAGAGGCACACTGAACCTAAATGTTAAGTTGGAGAGGTCTTGTCTAATGAAGTCAACGCTCCGTCCCCCTCGTGCTCTAATCCAGAATCCCGAAACCTTTCAGCTCGAGTTACAAAATCGCTTTCAGTGCCTAGAGAATTGCAATGCAGTGGACGATATGAATGACAAGCTCGTGGAGACTATCCATGCGGTCGGAGCTAAGTTCTGCAAGACCCGCCGCAGAAGAACACAAAAACTCTCTGATCACACTCTTAATCTCATGACTGTTAGACGGGAGATGAGGCTGCAATCGTCAACAGATTTGACAGCATACAGGCAACTGAACAGACAGATCTCGAAATGCATGCGGCGAGACTTACGCAACTTTAATACTGCTCGTATTAAAAAAGCGATCGAGTGGAACCAGGGCTCCAAAGTCTTTGCCAGAGATCTGTCTGCCAGAAAGAGCCAACTGTCAAGGCTGAAGACTGAGTGTGGCAACATCGTTACCGGGACACCTGAGATTCTGAGTGAGATTGAGAGGTTCTATGGGCAGCTGTACACATCATCGTTGGAGCCACACGCAAGTGTGATGAACGATCCAAGAGCAAGTCTTATCCGACACTATTCCGATGATATCCCGGGCGTCAGTCTGAGCGAGATTAGAATGGCTCTCCACCACCTTAAAAACGGCAAGACCCCGGGCGGGGATGGAATTACAGCGGAGCTTCTGAAGCGGGTGGAACACCGGTACTTGAAGTCCTTCAGAAGCTCTTCAATTCCGTCCTCCATGGTGGCACTACTCCAGAGGAAGCGCGATGGTCTTGTTCTTTAAGAAAGGCGACAACGCTCTCTTGAAGAACTACAGACCGATTTCCCTTCTGAGCCGCGTCTACGTGCTGTTTTCGAGAGTCATTACGAATCGTCTTGCACGCAGACTCGACGACTTCCAGCCTCCCGAACAAGCCGGTTTCCGAAAAGGCTTCAGTACCATAGACTACATACATACCCTTCGGCAAATTGTACAGAAGTCCGAAGAGTACAATCTACCACTTTGCCTGGCGTATGTGGACTATGAGAAAGCCTTTGATTCCGTCGAAATTTGGATTTGAGTCTCTAATGACAACAAGACTAATATTGCATAAACCATGGTTGAAGCCACAACAGATAAATCTTAAGATCATGACTGTACGTATTTGTCGCGCATTCTTCGATTTGCCTGTGACGTTATGGCACCAGTGTTGACGCGAGGGCGTAGTTTTTACGGTTTGAAGGGTATAGAGAGCCGGTATAAATACAGACTATGAGTCATTCTATTTTTGTCCTCAGAGGTGACAACGCCCCTGTAGCCACTTCGGCCCGGACCAAGTATTTGTATGGCGTACAAATACTTGTTCCGGGATTAAAACTCGGTTAATTCATGTATGTAAACTGCTTCTAAGATACAAGAGAAATTAATAGTGTATAGTTAACGTGTTTTTTATAAGAAAACAACGATGAAATATATAATACCAAGTATTAAATTATAAGTTTAAAAAAGTGAAGTTACGTAGGCATCCTCTAATTTCTGATCCTCGAAATATTTGTTTTAATTTCTTAGACATTCAACTTTGCTTACCATATTTTCCTCCAACGCCGAGCACGTGGTAAATAAGGACTTAAAAATGCAATTACGTAAAAATTTCATTGGTGCCGGCGGGGCAGCTGTGCAATTAAGGGTCTAGCCCTGAGCTAAAACTGTGACAAACGATCTGTGTGATCGTCGATCCATCTAATGGTAGGTGAATACTGTGGCCCATAGACATGTATATCTATCTTCGGTTAAGAATCACAATGCACATGCGTTGATATCCCTAAAAACTAAGATAGAATACCTCATTTCCAATAAAAATGTTCACCGTTTCTCTGCACTCACCATACGAAATACAGCAGGATTAAGCTCTAAACTAAATCAAAATTTCATCCTGTATCGTGGGGGTAGCTTACTTTATTGATTTAAATAAAATTGACAAGTCATAAACATAAGAAAATGAAATGTTGTTTTTATAGAACTAATGTGATAGACGATTACATAGTCCACCTGATGGTAGATGGACGCTGTAGCACGTAGACATCTGCCCTTGACTAATAATTAATAATTTCTAAATAACTACCCGAATAATAAAGACACGAATCACCATTTTTTTTAAAAATTGTCTGTCTGTCCGTCCTAATCTTGAGAATGGCTTTGTGAAACCGATTGCAATAAAACTTTACGAACAGATAAAGTTCAATGCCAGGAGTGATTAAGGTTATAATTTAACCATTATTATATTTCATTATTTTATTTAAAAACTTGGAGATTTTTTAAAACAAAAGGAAAAATTGTTAAAATAAGTGGTTTCGTTTATTTTAAAATATAAGTGTATACATGGTTGATACTAATGATAACTCCTGGGAATGAGATGGCCGCTTCCAAGCTGTTCCTAAAATTAGTTTTGTAACTATTTTGTACAACCTGCGTTCTATTAATTAAACAGTATAAATTTCCTATATAAGTTTACTAATTAAAAGTTATACACTATAATATAACTTTAAAAAAAATCCTGCTGGTTCTTCCCAGGACAAAGGTTTTTTCAGTAGAAAAAGTAAAAATGACTTTCAATAAGAATTACTTGTAATTTATATTTAATAAAAAATATTCTATTACCGTTTAATAATACAGTTTAAGTGTTGAGGTTGAAAGAAGCTCGAATTGGTTCCAGAAATATTATGCCATAACGTCACCCTTTTTTAATCCGACCTTGTTCACATATTAGAACAATGATCTTTACTAATGCCGTATTAAATTTCGAGGGATCCTTGAGCACGTAATCTAGGTAAACTTTCGTGAAATATATTCCAGCTATATCTGAAACCTTCAAAGGGTAATAGAAATTCATGTCGCTAATGGCATTTATCTTTCTATACATATGGATAAAATTGAAGCGTCTTTCTATAATTTATTACATGTTAGACTCATGTTGCAGCTATATTATAGTTATAGCGGGAACGGGTTGGCTCGACCTGACTAGAACTACGCTCTTACAAAATAACAACGTGAAATAGTAGCCTAGTGCTGTTGTGATTATATGATTAGTATAGGTAACCGGAGACCCTTTTTATTGGAATCAGGCATTCAACTTTAGCTTCAGGAGTGACAGCGCATCTGCATTTTGATTCTTAATCAAGAATAGATGTCTATGTGATACAACAGCATCCACTGACCATCATGTGAACTGTGTGTTTCTTTGTCACCCTTATTCTATAAAAAGTAAATTGAAATAACTGTCTTATATTAAGCTTTGGGAGTTATTTGTACTCTGAAAACATTATCATCATCATTTGAGAGAGAGAGAGAAAGCAATGCTAGGGGGTATCTAGGGAACATTTTATTTGATAATTTTAAGATCCTTTTTTTAAATGCTTTATTGATAAAATTAATGGTCTTTAACTGTCGTAAAACTGAGATACGCCACATCAAGACTACCGAAGCCAGAACGGGCAGCAAGTAGTAGTAAAATAGTTTCTCTCGATAATAGGAGAATAAGATAATAGGCCTCCTCTTACTTCTGAGAGGATTTTCGGACAAGAATGTGTCCGCCGCGCTGCCCCAATGCGTGTTGGTGGACTACATGACTTCTTCATACTTTTTTTTTTAATTTCTAATAAAGTTAGGTCTTCTCACGATGATTATCTTCACCTCCAAGCAATCAGCAATTTAATTGTTGCTGGCGCGGATCGAACTTGACTTGCTTGAGTACTGTGAAATTTACAGCGAGCGCTATTAATTATGTCCTCCATAACGAATTTCGATTACGGCTGCCAGTCACAACGTAGACTCGCCATCTGCGCAGGACATCATTACAGTACCTGAGTGTATGCGAAAACATAGGTGCACTCTCTATATAATATATTTTCTCACTTTCATGTTTCGATAGGACGGTAATCCGAAACAACTGTATAGAGATCAAGCGCAGGACTAACGGCATTACGTGCTTTCCGATGCACGGGGGTGAAACAACGCAAACTTCCTGACCGGGCTGTTACTGACAATTTCTTGATAGAAAAACCCCATATAACTAAGTTTGGCCCAACCCGGATTAAGACCACTGGGCCAACGATGCAGTGGACTAAACTAGCTTTTTCACGGATTTTAAACAACATAGTATCTCAAATATACTTCCGCAGTTTCGAGCTCTTTGCAGAATAGGATCACCATGAGTTATGATAATAATTAATCACTTCAGAAGAATTATTTAAGTAGTATAGCGGATTCATAAACTGAAATAGCAAACGCCCACAAAGTCCACCTGGCTACTGCAGCTTATCGACACCAGAATCCAACTTTAATTATAGAAGATTAAAGATGTGTTGTCATTTATGAGGACTAAGATGGAATGTCCCACACACTGTAACTAAACTTGCTCTCTATACCTGTCAGATATACACAGCAGTGCAAGCATTGCCATTTGGCCGAAATAGGTGTTAGGAAAATTTTATTACGTACTGGACACACGCTGCAGCTTAATTACTGCTGTAGGACGAATGAGTTGGCTCAACCAAGAAAAGTCTTGGCTTTCACAGAATGCCAGCATAAAATTGCAGCCTGAAAATCACAACTATTTCTATATATTACTCGAAATTATTTAGGTAAAAAAATAAATTATATTCACACAAAAACTTTTATAACAATTTTATAATAAAATACTAAAGTAAAACACTAATAAAACACTAGAAAAATCCAAAAATCAACACAACAACATCCAAATGAAAATGGCGTACGTAATGAAAGTAGAATATAAATTAATATCCATAGACCTATTTTTTTTGTTCCAATAGAGGATAGAAAATTTCATATTGATGCTATAATGCCAAACCTCTCCATAGAAAAGTAGTCTCTAAACATAAGTATTTATGGGTTAAAGTGCTGTGGGTACGTGCGGTCAAATTCGACCTCTTGAATTTTTACTTCGAATATTGAAGCGGTCAAATTTGAACGCTTGGCGTTTGAGAGGTTAAATAATAACTGAGAATATTAAAATAATCATAAATTGGTAAGCAGAGTAATAAAATGTTATAAGAACAAAGAACCCGTCCCCGTTCCAAATCTTCTAAATTTATGTAATCTATTGTCGTCAAACCTACGAGTGTGTCATTTTACTCGTTGCTCTGAAAATAGAAGCTGGTGATTGACATTTAAATGTTGTTATTTTATATCTTTTTTATTTTAACCGAGTTACAAAAATCAAGTACGGCTGGGAACACCAACCTTAAAGGTTAATAAAACATTACAAGCCTAGGTTTAGGTAATCGTAATTTTATCGGAAATATAAAACTTTCCTCATTGGAACAAAGACATTCAAATTGACTCTTAGACGAAAAATAATAATGGAATAATTAATAGAACCAGGCATTACTTTGCGCAAATCCATTATGTTAAATATGTTAAAAATTAATTAGCTAATATCTCCTTGCACCTCTCCTGCACAATCCCTGTCAACACTAAATCCCAGAACCACTACTCGTAATACCACTACACTAGGAAAGACACACCACCATCTATAATACGACACATGTTTCGCCTCTAAACGAGAAATCCCCAAGTGAAGTAAACAGTGCAGTGGCTGACTACTAAGCTTAGACGGTGGTGTTAAAAAGTAAAGTTACAGCCTATATAAGTCCCACTGCTGGGCACCGGCCTACCATCATTTCTGAGAGGGTTTAAGGACAAGGAAGTGTCCGCCGCGCTGCCCCAATGCGTGTTGGCGAACTTCACATATCTTGGAAACATATTTTTTTTTCTTATTTCTCAGA